CCCCAAAACCCCAAAACCCCAAAACCCCAAAACCCCAAAACCCCAAAACCCCAAAACCCCACTTCGTTTGCGCAAAATTGAAACTTTTATTTAGTAAAAATAAAATAAACTGCAACCAAACTAAATATGTAAGTTGTAATGAAGAAGCTGGAGTTGGTCGACCTTGAACAATCTGATCTTTTACCCTCTTTCTACAGCTTTTATCCTAAATTTTGCCCATCCTTCTTCAAATAGATAGTGGGTTTACAAACATTTTAGGCCAAAAAGGGAAAAATTTGAGATTTTTATGGAAAAATATGGCAAAAATTGAGAATCGATTGAAGTTGTCAGACAAGTTCTTGCAGAACAAAAGGACTTTTCCTTCGTAAACATCTTCAGACGACTCAATAAGATCAACAAAGATGGGTTTATAACTGAACAAGAAATAAGTTCATACCTTGAGGAGACAGGTATCAGAAATTCACAAGAGATTGTTGAGTTCTTTGTCAAGTCATTTGACCATGACGATGACGGGAGGATCTCCTTTCAAGATCTGCTTCTTTCAATGATTCCTCAGAAATAGCCTTAAAATTTATAAAGAAAGCATCAAAAAAGACAAGGGGAGCTTTAAGGTTAATAGCCAAGAAGATCCACCTAAAGAAGTTTTATATGAAAGTTATCTGGACTCAAACGATGACCCAACACAAGAGGTGCTAGAGCTCTGGCCAAGGCTCTCTACTGTCCCTAACACTGAACAGAAAGTTTACATAACCAATTTGGCTACAGGGCTCGAATTTGCTCTGAAATAAATATTTTGAAGCTTATCTGGGTCTTTATTCATCAATTTTTATGGCTAGAATGTACTTCGCAGAAAATATAGAAGACCAGAACAACAGTATAGATGAGCCGAATGCTGGCATCAACCTGACCGAGACCTTAATCAAGATCCTGGCTTGAAAAGGACTAGAAGCGTATCTCACAAAATCTCGAAGAAGGAGGTACCTCTACGACAGGCAAATGTTGATCAGCATCTTTAGAGGCCTTGATAAGGATATGGATGGCAAAATCTCAGTGCTTGACTTCCTAAAATCCTTGTCCAAGAATTATACAGAAGAGAACCTAAATATTCAAGTAAATAAATAAATTAAGCTTTAGATTGCATCAAGATTTCTGGATAACCTTCCTCAAAGCGAGCTCACAGGCAAAAGGATAACATTCGACTCTATAATTAGCAAGAAAATTCAGAAAAGGAAGAAATCTAGAAACCCTAAAACCTCTTCAAGACTGGCTCGGGAGAGGCTGATCCAGGCCAACCTGAGAGCTTCTAGCGCAGATCAAAGATACAGGTATGCCCACTTAGTTAATTGTAGGACACCCAAGAAGAGAGCAGTCCGGAAGTTCTCTGTAGAGCATGCACTCACTTGGAAGCAACTAGTAGATTCAGGCAACGAGATTGCGCTTGTCTATATAGATAATCCAACCAATGCTAGCTCCAGGAGAGAGACTCCATTCAAGTCTGATCGAAAGAGGCATTTTAAGAGTGCCAAGGTTGAAAATAAGTACCACCAAAGAGTCCTCGACCCTAATATTTACAAGTTTAAATAAGCGGAAGATGTTCTGGCCTCTCAATTACCATCACCAGAGCAAAGGAAAGTTACTAAAGAGTTTCAAGCAGCACCTGGATGCTTACATGCACACATTCTCGCTTCGCAAGAATGTTTTGGATAAGTCTACTCAGGAGAAACCCCATGATATCTTGACTATCACTCCTGAAATTCCAGAATCTGCACAACAAGATGTCCTTGAAAGCAGATTTAGCATGGTCTTAGCGAAAATTATAGAGTTCGAGGAACGTCTAGAGATACAGAAACAGGAGCTAGCTAAGGAAGAGAGCACTGAACTAAATGATATCCGGAATAGCATCTTTATGAACATGGGCAGAGATTACTTCACAGTTGATGATCTGGTGAATGCACTGGAGACACTTGATTTTGACCCAGAAATCTGTACTCTAGAGATAGCCCAAATCCTGCTGATTAAATTCTCTTCTATCAAAGACAAGAGAGATTTTGGCACCAAAATTACTGAGAAGTCATTAGAATACATCATGAACTCTGAAGAACTAGCCATCATGTTTTTGCCACGAGATGAGTCCTTCCAAGAACTTGTGCTTCAGCGGGAGTCCAAAATAGCAGACATAAAGGATAAGAAGCATATGGATGATTCTGAAAAGAAACAGCTGAAAGCTATTAAAATGAGCATCGGTGGCTACCTCTCCTGGATTATTGATGGACTAATAACCATCAAGGAGCTGATAGATGAGTTTATCCACTTCTGTAATGAAAGTGAAAGTGATTTGCATAATTTCATCAACAAAACATTTGACATTAGTATCCTTAAGAGCGAGACTTACATCCCTCTGCATGGCCTAGTTGATTTCTTGGAGAAAAGGAAAGCCAAAATAATCAACGGCACTCAAGCTAAGGACTCTAATCCTTACAAGGCCATGAGCCTGATCGACAGTTTCTTAAAGTTAGACTCTTGGGACCCTCAGATTAATAGCTATTATGCCAAAGCTGTCAGATTCATTGATGAAATTTTGGCTTATAACAACGCTATATTGTAACCGACTGGAAGTCGATCAGAATAATCCATTTTCTTCAGATTCAAGCTAGATATTACAAATACCCATAGAGCTAGTTGTTCAATCCTCATGGAATTTATAGGGGTTTTGGGGTTTTGGGGTTTTGGGGTTTTGGGG